CCTGCCGTCCGGGCCGGCCGGAGTGCGGCTGCCCGCTGCGCCCGTGCGTCACCGCGGCCCGAGGAGCGCCGCGCACAGGCCACCTCGGCCTCACAATCCCCCATTGTTCGCTGCTCATGAGGGCCCTGCATAGAGGCAGGACACAGCCGCGCCTGTCCCCGCGGCCGCGGCGCCGCCCCCCGTGACCCTGGGCTGAGCGGGGTCCCCAGCTGCGCCCACCGCGGTCAGGCCGGTGCCCCCCGCCCTGGGGCCACCTTCAGCCCTGCCCTCGCCCTGCCACGGCCCGAGGTCACCAGGGAACAGACAGCGCCTCTACTTCCCCGGAAGTCAGAACCCTTCTGCGGGTGGGGTACAGCGCAGGACCTAGCACGGGGTCGCGGGGAGCTGGACTCTGCAACCAGCTTGGCGCTGGGACCGCCTGCCACTGGGCGATGCTGCGCTTCCGGTGACGGCCAGCGGGGGCGCCAGGACCCCCAATCTGTTGCTCCACTGCCCTGCAAAAAGGGTCTGGAGTCCTGGGTGCCCAGACAGGTGGACACACAGGCAGACAAACAGGACTGAAGGGATGGCAGAGGTTCCATGATCCATAAATACCTGCTTATAAACTACTGTACTGAGCCATTGCACCGTTCTGTAGCTGAAAAGCCCCTCACATACAAGGACTTTTTCAAAGATCAGCCCTGCCCTGGCCCTCAGAACTGCGGCAGCCACGTGACCCTGCCCTGCGCCAGGCAACTCCTATGTGCATGTGCGCGTGTGCATGTGTGTGCTCCCAGCAGTCACACAGCCGTGCTCACCCTCAGTCCCCCCTTGGCCAAAGACATGAAGCCGACCCGTCAGTGCAGCCCTGCTGGGCCGCAGGTCTGGCAGGCCCTAAGCCCCCAGAGCCCCGGGCCATGGGTGGCATGTCCTCTTCCCGCTGCCCACACACCCTCGAGGGTGCGGTGGGCAGACAGGAGTGGAGGCCGAGCTGCGGGTGCCCCCTGTGGGCTTGCCAGTGCCAGGCCACATGAGGGCTCTGCAGCCACCACAAGCCACCGGGCTTCCTGGTCCCACCCTGGCCACACTATCACCCAGGAGCCGAGACCCAGCCCAGTGCCCTGATCTGTCCCTCAAACCTGGATCACAGGGCACCACTGCCCCTGTGGTCCCTGCTGCCCACCCTGGGTGCTGAGGGCAACAGGTTCTCCCACCCAGCCCTGCAGGGCTCAGGATGCCAAGCCCTGGCATGAGGGGGAAGGGAAGAACCCCATACCTTTCTCCAGCCCAAGCTCTGGGGCAGGGGTGTCCACCCCAGAGGGCCTGTGGGGCTGGGGGAGAGCGAAGCCTGGAGAGCCCGGTCACTGCCCAAGGCGCGCCAGGGCCTGCAGAGCTCAGGGACTCGCCCACGCCACATGCGACGGGTGTAGGGAAGAGCTTTGCTTAGTTTTCCAATTGTTCTTCAATTTGCCCAACTGTGTAACTCACAGAGACACCTGAACTTGGGGAGCGTTGGAACCTAGGAGTGCAGATGGGTCGCATTGCAGAAGTCAGGAGCAGCCTGCCGCTCCTCGCTGAGCCCGCAGGTTAGCCCCACCTCCAGGTCACCTGGACTCGGCAAAGACGCCTTCACTTACTTGCTCAAAATCCCCCGCAAGAGACCCTGGACTGGAGGCCGGGCACAGAGCCAGCGGAGGGGCTGAGCCCCTGGCTTGGGGGACGGGGGCTGCCGCACCTCGGCTGCCTCACCAGGACCCTGGACTTGTTTTCGAATCCTCTGCCGCCTCCGCCAGCCTCACATCTGAGCAGACGGCCCCCCACTGCTCCTGAAGGCAGTGAAACCTTCCCGCAGGGGCTTGCTGAGTGGCCTCGGCAGACGTTCCTCCAAGTCCTAACTGCTCCGCTCAGTGGACGCCTCCCAACGGCACCAGGGTCGCATCGCCAGCCGCCTAGCAGGTGCTCAGGAGCCCCGTGTGGAGTCCGGGACAGAGCAAAGCGCCCAGTGCTGCAGCTGGGAGCAGCGACCTCGGTGTCTCAGTCCCTGGGCAGCACCAGCGCGAGGCAGCACAAGCCCTGGACGGCGGGGACGGCGGGGCCTCGCCACATCCTGCAGGGACACAGGACCTGGCCTCGCCCTGCTCTGCTCCCGCTCACAACTGGAGCCGCTTGTTTCACGCTGCCCGCCATGCTGAGCTGTCCCACAGGGGTGGCCACGTAGCGCTGGACTGGAACCCTGGGCCCCTGGGCCCCAGCCTCCGCCCTGAGCTGGTGTCACCTAGAGAACCGTGGCTGTGTGGAAGCAGCCCTCAGACCGCTGAGGCGACGACCCGCCCAGGCCACAGCCGGTGCAGTGCAGGCCCCAGTCCTCCTGTCCCTGGACAGTGTCTGAGAGCCGGTGCCATTAACACTAGTCACGTGTGCCCCTTCCACAGGACAGACGCCCTGTCCCCCAGTGGATGTCGTCACATCCTAATGATTCCATCAGACACCTCTCCAAGCCCCTCTCTCCGCCTCCTGGTCCGAGACGCCCCAAAACCCTTCCCCTCCACACCCCAGAAGGAGGAAGAGGCCAGGGACCAGCCGGTGGCCCACACCAGCCTGGCACACAGTGCCAGGAGCCCAGGACCCAAAACTGAGCTGCCCTCCTCCCCCAGGAAGGCCACACTGTCCCCAGCTGCATCAGACCAGAGAACTGGAACCTCGCACCTGGCTTCCAGGACCCTGCCAGGCCGCTTCTTCCTTGGTGGAGTTTAGGAAGAAATGAGCCGTTGCCGGGGTGACACTGGCCTCGAGCCCTGACTCACCTTTGCAAATCCACAGGCCAAGTGGTGACCTCGGGAATTGGTGCCAGGACCTCTGATGGGGAGGGGCACAGCCTCGAGGGCCCTGTGTGGCACACAGGGTCCAGGACAGGCAGATCTGCAGCACGAAGGACCAGCTGGGCAGCGGCAGGGGTGGGGGTGGGCAAGGGGCAGTGGGCTGCTTTCTAGGGTGACGGAAACATTCCACAGGGGGCCACAATGCTGGGGTGCAGCCCTGTGGAGGAGCTGGGAAGGGGGGGCCCACGCGGCAGTGACACGCGCGCTAGAGAAGCCACGTGGAGCTGGTGCTGGGCAGCAGTGCTCTGTGCGTCCAGCGCGGCTGGGAGCCCTTCCCGAGGACAGCAGCGCCCCAGCCCCGCGTGACTTCCCACTGTGCCCCAGAAAGAACCTGCCAGAAGTCTTCCCCTGGGGCCTGAATGAGGACAGCACACAGGGACAGGGAGTACTTGCCGTGGCCCACAGGGCAACGAACCAACCTACAGCACTGAGATGTGAGGGGACCTTCCCGGGAGCACCTGGGCTTGGGCCAAGGGGGCCCGGTCCCCCACCCCTGGGCTCAGGCAGAAGCCAGGCCCCAGAACTTGGTGCTGCTCTCCGAGGCACTTCGGTCCCCTCCCACATGCTTTGGCCGTGCTGCAAAGTGACCCTGTCCTCCACCGGCTCCTCGGACCCAGCACAAGTGAAACCCACACCCAAAAAAGACAGTTAACAGCTTGGGGCTGGGGATTTAGCTCAGCAGCTGGGGATTTAGCTCAGCAGCACAGCACTTGCCTGGCAAGCACAAGGTCATGAGTTTGATTCCCAGTACCGGAAAAAAACAAAAAACAACAAAACAAAACAAAAAGACAGTTAACAACTATTTGCTCGACAAACCCCAGGCCTGCACTGTACTCCAGGCAGTGGGCAGCGTCAGGGGACACAGCCCCTTCCTCTCCTCTTGGGAACTCAGCCTGGCCACTCCCACAGATGCCGGGGGTCGAGAGCCCGGGAGACAGGAGCGGGACGGGGGTGGGCACAGCTCCCGCTGGCAGAGGTGGGTTGGCAAGGGGCCGCCAGGCAGAGGTGCAGAAAGAGGAAGGGACGGAGCTCTTCTGGAGGACTCGGGACCCCAAAAAGTGGCAGCTGGACGGTGGGCGCAGTCAGCGGGAGGCTGGACTCCAGCAGGCACGGCTGGAGGGAGGCGTCCCCCCCTGCCAGGGCACAGTGCTGCGGTGCCACTGGTGCCGCACGTCTCGCTCGGGACGTGCCTGGCCCTGCCAGGCCCCGGGCCACCCACGCAGGGCGGCTGACTGCGGGGACACCTGAAATTGAGGGGTGACACGTGTCAGTCACAGAACCAGCTTCGCTGCCTCGGACGGTGACCAGTGTCCCCTACAGAGGAGGACGTGGTGCTCAGGCCCAGGCTGTCCCCGACCGCAGTCAGTCACATGGCCAGTGGGTGGGGGTTCCCCCTTGCCGCGCCCTCCCGCAGTGGGGTGGCTCCAGGGATCCCTCGCTCCAGAAGAGAAGGGACGTGAAAGGTGCTCCGAGACCCCTACCCTGCCCACGGCCTGGCAGCACCGTCGGCAGACAGTGGGCAGCAGAACAGGCCTTCAGGTCTCTGCACGGCTCCTCCTGACCCAGGGACAGCTCTGCCCTGGGTCTGTGTACTTGGAGCAAAAGGTCACCTCTGCACCCACCCCCAGGGCCAGCAGAGACAGTGCCTGAGGGAGGATGGCCAGCAGCCCGTGGGTGCCCACACCCACCTGTCTGTCACCAAGGAGACGTGGGGCAGGAGGCAGGCAGAGGGTGGAGCCCAGAGGGCTGGGGGCCACGGGACATAAAGGCCCCGAGGTCCTGCCCAGCAGAGCCCCAGCACTGTGGCCCTACACCTGCCCAGACCATGGTAACGGCACTGCCACCCCTGCCTGTTGGAGGGGCCTCGTCCTCGCGGGAGGGAGTGGAGCAGGGGAGGGTGTGGCCCCCGGCCCCTGCTGGGCAGGTCCCTGCGGGGCTGGCCGGTGGAGGATGAAGAGGACAGAGAGAGCAGGCAGGGGCTCAGGGGTTCGGGAGCCTATCACGCTTGGGGACGGTGCAGCCTGAGGGCTCCTGCCTGCGCCTGTGCGTGCCCTGCGCGGGGCGGGGTGTGGGGTCCCCGCCGGTGTCCCCGTGTGCAACCGGCTCTTTACTCGACCTGGGCTGAGTCGCTGAGCGCTTGCCACAGCCCCGGTGCCCGCTGGGCACCGGCGCCACCTCCACAGGTGACTCTGGCTGTGGCCAGTGGCTGGGCAGGGCCTCACACAGAACAGGCGATGAGCTTGGGGCCCGGCGAGCGGCGCGGAGCAGTGACCAGGCGGCCGGGCCAGGCAGGTACAAGGCGGGCTGGGAGCTCAGAGCAAGGAGCCCGGCCCGCCGCAGGGTCTGCAGAGGCGACCGCAGCCCCGCCACGTCCCACGACGCCCGGGCCAGCAGGGAGCAGGAGGGGGCGCAGGGGGCGCAGGGGGCGAGGACCGAGCTGTGGGGAGAGGCGGAGCGGGATGAAGGTCGAAGCTCCAGGGCGCGGGTCCCCGTTTCTCTGTTTTTGAGGTGCTGGGTGTTGAATCCAGAGCCTACTCGCTGAGCTGCATCCCCAGCCCCTGTTTTATTTTGAAACGGGCTCTTCCTAGTCGCCCAACTAGGCTGGAACATGACCGTCCTCCTGCCTCGGCCTCCGAATGCTGGGCTTATAGGCGTTCCCTCGTACCCCCGCCTCGCCACGGGTGTCCAAGCTGCTCCCTGGGCTCCACGCTATCCCTGAGGGCGCCATACACCCGCGCACGTCCGTAGGGTACAGGACCCGAGCATGCATCGCCCAGTCACGTGACCGCGGCAGTGCACCCCCGCATCACGTGACCATCGTCTCCCACCGCAGGCTGCGGCCCTGCGCTGCGCGTGCGCACTGGCGCTCGGCTGCCTGGCGTCGCTGCTGCTGCGACCCGAGGGCGCACGGGGCGCGGAGCTGCAGGTGCCAGGGGCCCCGGAGCCCAGAGTGGCCGGCTGGTTCTCCAAATTGGGCCCGCTCGGCAAGTACATGGAGAAGATATTCGGCAGCAGGTGGGCCGCGGGAGTCCGGGGGGGTCGCCTGGCACCCCACGCAGTGCGCCCCGGGCCCACACAGACGTGTATTCCGCAGCGCGAAGAAACCCACAAACCAGAAGCCCGAGCCCGCCGCGAACGCCACGAGCCCCCCGACGCCCCCGAGCTCCCCGACGCCCCCGCCGCGGAAGGCGCCGGAGCTTGGTCCCCTGCTGCCGCCCCGCG